TTTCGAAATGTATGCAAATATCTTTTAAAGAAAACTTAATTCATTGACATTTCCTTCTTTAAATGGTCTCTTAATAAAAGTCCAATTTAAGTCCAAATTTGGCCACCAAAAACAATTTTCATTTAAGTTTCCTGCAAGCAAGAATCAATTGACTCTCTACATAGCTGGCATTATATATTTTGTTCGCTTTGTAACACAACCAATTTATAAACGAAATAATTTTTTTGGGCGCGCCTTTTGTAAATACTTAAACGCTTAAATGCTCTATCAACAAAATGCCACAAATTGTGGCGCTGTCAGCGGCAATACGAGGCAGATCAGCGTGGCCAGTGTTCAAAAATAAAACCCTTTCACTTCCGACCTATTACCTATGCATTTTTGTCTTTCAGCTTTTTTTGGGTCAAAGTTTGTCAGAGTTAGCTTCATTGTTGCTGTTATTTGTTATTTTGGTCTTCCCAAAAAAATTCAACGCCAACGCAACAGCGCAGCAAGGGGCAACAAATTTAATGCAACATCATCGACAACGACCGCAAAGCAAGCAACAACAATAAATTGTTGACTTGTTGCAGTTGTTGCCTTCATTCACATTGAATTCGTTTTCGTGGGCGTCGTCCCAACGCATTATGTTCGAGTAGATACAAATTTATTTGTATATTTTGTTCTTTTTTTTTTCTGTTTTGTGGCAAGTTTAATTTGTTTATAGCACGTCCGTTTGTTTTAAACGGTGTCATTTGAGCAACTCGACAACAACAAGAACAACAACATTAATACGAACAATCACAAGAGCCCTACGTTGATCGTGTTGACTTTTGGCCTCAGATCAAGAAACAATTGTGAGAGGTGGACAAGGCGAGACCAAATCAAATTGAGCGTCAATAAGCTGTGGCAGGCAAATTTATTTTGTTGGTTGCTGTTGCTGTGGCTGTTGCTGTGGCTGTTGCAGGTAACGATTATTGCAACACGTTGCGGCGCTGCCAACAGCTGTCAGCTGGCACTTTGGTTACGCTTTATCGGCCATCTGCGGCACATGCACACGCGGCGTATGCGCAATTGCCATTTAATTAAAATTGTTTGCACAGCTTCGCCAATTGCTTGGCCACATTATATATGTATATATTTTTGCCTCTTTTATTATTTAATTTACCTTTTTTTTTATTTTTGGCGCGCAGGTGCGCAACGGAAACAGCTACAACAACTACAACAAAATGTTCACACGCTACACGACTTTGGCTAATTAATATGCATAACTCGGACTCCACGCACTCGAGCATTTAATTATTGTCATTAGTTGAGCAAACACAATGCGGTGAGCACCAATTGTTGTTGTTGTTGTTGTCGGTACTGTTTTTAATACCCTGTACACGAAATCGAAATGGGTAATGACACAGTTATCGAGAACATCTCACTCCATTCTTCCACTTATTAAGGAAATGTCAATTTGAAAGGTGCTTTAGTACACACACACTCTTTGGTGTTATATATAAGTCCAGCTATTTTCATAAAGATTACCCTGGAGTTATTCAAGAAAGCATCTCTTATAGTTTGGGACTATGGGATGAAGATGGTTGCAGGGCATCTTCTAGCCAGGCATTCCCGATTAGAGAACTTTTTTTTTATTTCTTTTTTTTTGGCATAGGAAGCGGCCAACTGGGGCAGCAATAAGCATTAAAATAAGCAAATCAAATTATAAAATATAAAAAATACAAAAAACGCAAGAACAAGGCGTCTTCATTAATGATAGGAAGTAGGTTGAGAGAGCAGCGGGCAGACAGGCAGGCAGTCAGCCGAATAAAAGTAAAATACATTTGACAACACCAAAATTTTCGTTTCAGCCAACTGTTCGGCCGCCTTTGGGCGCATTAATACCAATGGCTAATTAACTTGTTGGCGAGCTCGTAAAATAGTTTGGCCGCTCATCAAGATAATAAAGGCCAGCGAGCAAGTTTTGTTTGCTTTGTATCTTATTGTTTTTTATCCTCCTGTTCGCTGTTGGTTTTTGGCCGCCTTTAATTGCGTTGAAACTAAAAGCGAAAACAAAAAAAACAAGCAGCACGTCGACCTAACAATACCCTTGCGGACAAATAGCTAGCAAGAAAGAAAGGTTTTTAAATGAAAACTTTGTTCCCGATCGATGATACACATAGAGCAGCCGTATGATATAGTGTTCCGTTTTTGATAAGATTTGGCTCATATGTGAAGAACATATTGAAACTAGTTAATGACAGGAAGAGAAAGAGACAGACGGACATGGCCATATCGTCTGTTGATATTTTATGAGAATGTATATGCTCTATAAGGTCGCAGTTGTTTTCTTCTATGCGTTACATACCGCATGACAAAATGTAATGCCCGATGCAAAGGGTACAGCGTCAGCTGCAAGTCGAACAGGTCACATATCGCTCGCTGCTCCGAATGCCAACGAGCGACTACCGTGCGGTTAGGGGACGGGGGGTACAGCAGGGACTGGGTAGAAACAGACACACGGAGTACACGTCTCTGCAGTCACTTTTGGTAATTAGATTCTCAAGTTGAGATAATGAACGGGGCACATTAAAATTTTACAGCCACATTGCAACTGATTGCGAGCCACGAAATTGAAAGTATTCAATAAATTAACTAAAAGCCAACTAAAATGTCAAGACAGCCAAGACAGTCAAGACATAAGCTGGCCCCGCCCCTTTGTGTGCTCGTGTGTGTTAACCATTTTGACAGCAGAAAATAATTATAATGGTGTCCGGCCATGTTTGCATTTTCCTGTTGTCCGATTGGGCTCATTTTAATTAAACCCCCAATTGTGCAATAAACTGAAAAGCATTTGCTGGTCATAATTGGCAGGCACTTTAGGCCAATAGTCAGCTAGAAGTTATGCGCATGCAGAGACAAAGAGCCCAGCAATTAATTTTAATTCGTATACAAACATATCTTAAAGCAATATGTAAAACGTTGTTCAATTTGATAATTATATATCTCAAGATAGCCAGACTCAACTTGACATTTACGAGCTTAAGTATGCTTTTGACATAACAGCAAAATCTCATAAGTATTAAGACTATTTTGCAATTTATATATATGTATATTTCGACTAAACTCAGTTATTTTGAGCTTTACAATGCCAAAATTTGATGCCCACTAAATTGTTAGATTATTTAGCAAAACTTTTCAAATGTTTACATTACTCTTCAGAAATGCAAATGAAAAAAAAATTGATAGTGGGTCGGCCGAACCTCAAAGCAGAAGGTTGGTTCGAGCTACAACCAACTCCCTGCCTTCAGCTTTTTCCTGATTCGGTAGTGGTTTGAACCAACCTCCTGCTTTGACGTTAGGCTGGGTTTTCACATCAATGGTACCTTAGGCTTTGGTCCAAACTTAGGCTTGTCATATATTTTTTTTTAAAACACTAAATTTTTAATTTATCATTGTTTGTTGTACTGTAAAAACCGTTCATACACGTATGAATACATATGTTCAAATACAAGATAAACAAAATATAATCCCCAACACAAAATTGTATTTACCAAGGATGATTAGATAAATTGGCTGGGTTTCAAACTATTTTATTTTTTGGGGCCGAATCTCCTACAAAATGTTGTATTTTAAACCAAATCATTTTTGATGAAAAATATATTCGTTTCGGACTTTGGTTCACTTGGTTTTCAGGCAACTGGTCGTACAGCGTAAAAAATAAATGCGAGTTCCGGGATTGAACCATTTAGGTTTGGTGCACAGCCTAGTTTAGTACCAATGCTTATCTTAATTTCTACAAATTAAAATTCGGCAACACAAGAGATGAGCGTTTGTTTTTGAATTTTTAATTTTTTGACGACTTTACTGAATATGTCTTTATGAGCAAATATTAAAGAAATTCAATTGATATTTAATTTGTACTTTGTTATTGTTTTTGTCTGTTTTTCTTCGTTTCTGTATAAAAAGCTCAACTCTTGACATTCGCTCGACAGTTTTATTGGTGAATAATTGCGTATCATTAAACCATTTGTAAGGCATGTCGACCAGCAATGATTGATCTATTCGATGCCAATGTGAAAACGAAATAAAACAGCTGCCAGAAAAGAACAGAAACAAGTAGAATTGTGATGCGAGAGCGAGAGAAGGCAGCTTAGTGACACGGCAGGGGCAGCACATATAAATTACTTATATGATGGCTTCTGCCTTTCAGGCAGGGCGTGGCGCGCCGTGGCGTGGCAAAAGAATGTGGATTATGGCAATGATTTTGGGTATATATATTTTTGTTGTTGCTGCTGCCAACCGCTAAAATAATCCATTAAAGATAAACTAAAAGCAAACACTAAACTCCTGTGCTAAAGCAAAGCAAACCGCAGCGCACCCACACGCTGATAATCAATCATTTATCAATAAGCGACGGCACACGCCCAAAACTGCAGTTGATGTTGTTGTTGTTCCTGTTGTTGTTGTTGTTGGTGTTGCTGCTGCTACTGCTGTTGATTGGTTGCTATAAGCTTTTAGTTTGCGTTTAACGCCTCATAGATTCTCTAAAGCGCTGAGGCGTAGGAAGGGCGAGTGCGAGGGTTCAAGTGCGGCCCACATGGGAGACGTCAGTGTGTCTATGATAAAGTGATATGCATGAAAATGCGTGCGTGTGCGTGTATGTGTGTGTTGCACGCATGATACGCTGCGGTGTGCCTCAGTTGTTGCCCAAATGTCTGATAAGGCGCTGCCAGAATGTGAGAATTATTGACTGTGCGTGTGTGTGCTTGTGTTTGTGGAGCAAACGAAAACCGCATCAGCTGCCATTGGTTTAATTAATTTTCTAGAATTCTGAATTTGATTTGAATCTGAACAGCAGTCATTGATTTGACTGCAGCGCGTTGCAGGGCAAGGCAAGCAGTTAGGGAAATTGTGGGAAAATTCTCGACTTCCCAATATGCGGGCTGGCGCTTAATTGAAATTTATGCAATGCTTACTTTTATTCCGAAAATTATAAAACATAACTAAGCATTTGAGTTTTCTTAATATATTTGCAGATCACAAAGAAACAGAATGCGGATGACATTGCTAGCGGCAGCAGTGGGAAAAGGAGCAGCAGCAGCAGCGCTTGCAGGAAATTTGAATAGCGCGACGGGGCATGTGAAAATGCAAAAATGTGAAATCAACTTTTATGTGTGTGTGGCCCAAGGCAATGAATTTTAACGAGAGCATTTAAAACAATACGAAAAAGCGTTAAGACCTTTACAAAAACAGGCTGAGGAAATTGCAAGCGTAAGCAGCAGCAGCAGCAGCAACAGCTTGTGGAAACGCGCTTAGCACGTGACGCGGCGCTAAGCGAATTCCCATTTTGTAACGGTAATTGGTGGCACACACGTGAGCGCACATCAAGCACTTGGCAAGTGGCAAAAATGGCCGTTAGCAACATTGTTTGCGAATGGCTGCGCGCCCTTGGGCTGGCGCAATACGCTGAAAGTTTCCTGGACAATGGCTACGATGACTTGGAGATATGCAAGCAGGTCGGTGATCCGGATCTGGATGCCATTGGCGTTGATAATCCTGCACATCGACACAAACTGCTAAAGAGCATACGTTCGCTGCGCGAAAAGGGCGCTGCCTCAGTCTATTTCATGCTCAACGATCCCAATTCGCTATCTGGCAGCATGGAGATCCTCTGCGAGACGCCGCCCAGCAATGAACTGGAAATGGTGCTGGGCGAGCAGCTGGAGACGGACGGAGTGCGTCTGACAGCGCATCCATATTCAACACCGGTGAGTACTCTATACAAATATATAATAAGATGCCACTGATTGCCAGTTAAAATAAGCTTTCGGTTTGCCATAGCAGTTGCTGTTGATTAGCGCCGGCTTATGTGCCGTGCTGATGTGCACCACCCGTATGCCACCCGTGGTGCACACCAAGCTGTCAACTGCATTGATTATGCATGGCTGTCAGCTCCGCCTAGACCTTGCCAGTAGTTGGACAGCTACTCATCAGGCTAACAAGCTCACACTCCGGCTCTTATACAATGCTCGGTTTTCATTAAATATAGCTCACACCACGCTCTCTCGAAAAACCTATTCAAACTGTATTTCCTGGCAAGTTGAGCTAGCTTCATATACTCTGTACAAAAATTTGAAAGGGTATACAGGTTCAGTTCAATCACAGTGTGGATGTCTGTTCGTCTGGTTTAATGGCTGCAACAACCACAGTTTAAGAGTCATACAATAATATTATTTGATTCATTAAAATCTTCTGGGAACAGTATCTCGCTGTTGACTATAGAGCTCCCACAATTTTAAAGCCACAGTTTGGCAGTTACCATAATTAGGTATTAGATTCACTGAAGACTTCCGAATATTTAAAAAAACAAAATTAATATATAATCCGTTCCCATTAAGAAGCTCTTTCAGCTCTTCTTTCAGCTGCTTTTACCCTAACAAAAAAACAGAGCATTGCCTAGTCCGGCCACGTTTCCACTTTTGATAATACAGAATCCAATTGCAAACAAAATTGCAAAAACTTAAAATTGTTTTAAATTGCGCTCAGGTGCGCCACCACCGCACCGCACCTCACTTCGCCTCAATTCAGTTCAGTTGAGTTCAGTTTTAGTTTTAGTTGAGTTCAGTTTTGTAGCCACCCACAACAAAAGGTCGACCGAAGCAAAGCAAAGCCCGACAAACTATTCAATGTCAGTTTACATACTTAAATTAAAATTCTCTGACAAGCAGAACTGCTAGAAGCAGAGCTATAGATAGGAGACTTAGAGAGAGAGAGAGACAACAAGATGAGGTGCAGAGTGCAACGTTTTTAAATGTCAACCCGGTCTACACTTGACAGTAAAATGGAGCACATTTAAACGGTAGCCCCGGTAGTTGCCGGCGGTCGCTCATTGCCGTCCGATGCTGTCCCCAAATGGCTTTTGTATGCAGCTTTTGGCTTTGGTGCCGTCTCGAGTGTCATGATGTTGCTCCATTGTTCTGCTTCTGCTTCTGTTGCTGCTGTTGCTGTTGCTGGGCGGATTTGGTGCCCCTTTTGTAGGACTCTCAGGTAGGCGACATATCATGTGCCATTTTATATGTACCAAAAGGCACCGATGCGTCGCGTTGCTTTTGGCCAACAATTGTGGAACACTCTCAATGTTTTTTGGCAGCATTTAAAAAATGCCTCAACCCGCGTCCTCTACGCCTTTGGCTTTGTGTAATTAAAGTAATGCTTGAGAAGCAGACAGCTTTGCCAAAGACAAAAGAAACAAAAACCCGTCTCCAATTTATGTGAATCCCAATCGTTGATGGTGATGGCTACATGCATGATTCAGAGCCGGCCAAAAGTAACTTTAAGCCCTTTGTGATTTATTATGCAAAAGCTGAAATTATAAACTGACCGCCGTCTGACAGCTTATAGTACAACATATCTCCACACACTGTTTGGCAACTTGTGGAATTTGCACGTCAATCGTGTTGCAAAATGTGATTTATATGTATGTATGAGAGGGAGACAGGAATCCCATATATGTGAATATATTGTATATGCGGCATGCAACATCCTGCCCCCAATAACGTTGCGGCTTCGTTGGCGGCAACGTGACGCTTGCCGCACAAATCACGTCATTGAGTTGTTTTCATCAAAAGGGCAAGCATGCAGCTTCGTCCAGCTACGCTCAGTTTGGGCCAGCTCCTCAGCACCGGGCAGTTGTTCGTTTTGTTGATGAGTCCGCGGCTATCAGAGCGTTTTAGGTTGCCAGCAAGTTGCCCCAAGTCTGCTGGCCCATTCATTCATTTGCTGACGTCTCGTACGCCCGCCCTTCCTCCCCGCCCAACTCTTGCTGTCTGCCGCTCGTTCGTTTTGTGTATTTTTATCCGAAAACTATCTGGCTGCCTGACGACTTCTTGCAGTTTTGTATCTGCGTATCTGCTGGCATACAATTTTTATTTATTACTCATTCAGCTGCAAAATTGTTCCTTAATTGCCCATATCAGCTGAGAAATGAAATTTATTACCTGGCGTGTGTATATCGCCAGTGCCAGTCAGCCAAACAACAGCCCAACTGAAACATACTACAGCAACACACAGACAACGTCCTAAACTTTTGCCAGCCGCATCATTATCAGCCTCGTCTCTGGCAGCCACACAGCATCCGACTCGACCAGCAACAGCAGCAGCAGCAGCAGCCGCATCGACATCATTAGTTTTGTGCGCCGCGCCGACAACGTTTTGTATATTTACTTAATATTGCAATGGTCTCTGCACTGTGCAGTGTATGTGTATGTGTGTGTGTGTGTGTGTGTGTTTGGCGTGCGTGTATGTGCCCACAGTCCTGTCCTGGCGTCCATTTATCTCGACGTGAACGTGGACAGCAACCTTCTGTGATTTCTGATTTCTTATGCCAATTTACTCTCGACCATAGACTGCGCGCTCGATGCTGCTCCATATTGAGACCCATCATCATCATCATCATCATCATTATAATCATCATCATCATCTCATCATACTCATCAGCAGGCTTTGCCTTTGCCATAGATCAAAAGACAGTTTGCTTTAGTTTTCCTCCCTGCTGCACAGTTCGCCGTTTTGTTGTATAATTTTATTTTATGTGCTTGTAGCCTTGACCAGGTCAAGTTGTTTTGGGGTCGAGCTGCCTCAGGTCCACTCAGCTGGACTGGTCCGGGGGCTAGGTTCTGTATCTTTTTCTGTTACTGTTTCTGGACTTGGTTGACTTTAAGTTATTTCAGCGCTTTGGCTTTATTGATTTGTCCTCTTTGATCTTCTGCCTGAGCTGTGGCATGATTTCATTTTTATGAACTTGACTTTTGTGCATTTTCATTTTGATTTCAGTTCTTGCCACGACTGTCGACGGCTCCTCGCCTGCTTCTTCTTCTTCTTCATCTTCTTCGCTATGAGCATTTTCTGCGTATCGTGGCAAGTAATTGCCGCAATTCAATTTGTTCATTTTGCCTACGTGCTATGTGGCTTTATTATTTGTTATTCAGGCTTACAAATGAGCCCTTTGCCCGGGCCTAATTTAATATTATTTAATTGCACAGGCCAGCAGATTGGAAAGCATACTCAATGATTTTCATGTTTAATTATTTATAATCATTTTGATTTTGTCTAGCTAGAGAAATATTTGTGTGCATAGGAAATATAGTCAAACGTTGAATTCCATATTAATTATAATTTTTGACATTTTATTGTTGATTTATTTATGATTTGAATTTCGCATAAATATAAATTGCCCTATAAATATATTTATACAGTATATATTAAGGGCTCTCGTCCTTCTATGCGTCACACATTTGGTTACGAAATTATTATATATATATGTATATCTTTATATAAATATATCTATATACATTCTTGATCAGTTTGAACAGATGGTACGGTAAAGCCATGACTTTATACTTAGAATCGGTCGATGAACTTGTTTTTGGATTTAAAACTTTTCTATTTTCAAGATATCGTTACCAAACTCAGTATTAACGAGCTGGTCTATTCTCCCAAAATATATCATATGGCTCCTATAGGAACATTCGCTCGCAAATAAGATTTTCGCATTTAACATTTCTACGTCTCGTTTGCAAGAGTATTAAATGTTCGGCTTGCTGAAGGTTGGCTTTTCTTTCTAATTTACTATGTCTAGAACTTTATCTGTATCTGAATTTTACGCAGTCAAAGTTTTGCTTTTGAAAATATGTCTTCTTAATTTAACAAATTATAGGAAAACTCTGTCCAAAACTTGTTTGTAATTTATGTGCGCTACACACACACACACGCACACACACATCCTTTTGACCCGCATGTGTAGCATATTATTAGCCTGTATTTCGGTGCATGTACTTGTCCTGCCCTCTCCCCTTTCATTGCGTAAATTAAAACATAAGAATTAAGCATGCCCCGCTATACGACATCAAAGCGGGCCAATTTTCGCCCAGCTGGCCATAAAATTTACGTAGCACCTCAGATGTTGGCCTCGAACCAGTACCAGAAGCAATGCCTTAATCAGGCATTTAGCACCAAAATGTAAAACTGCTGCGAACGCATTCATTGCTCATAAAAAATTAAAGTCTAATTGTGGACAAAGGCAGAATGGAAAAGCGAGCCACGATTCGCGTACACATTTTCAGATTCAGGTTCAGGTTCACGTTCACGTTCATGTCCTTTGTGGCAATGGGAAACGGACAGCGGACAACGGGGCGGATACACGTTTTGTTTTTCTTTTGACTCGCCCCAACGACTAAGGGCGCGAGAGACCCTAAACTAAACGGCGCAGATGCGGCCCAAGCCGGAGCCCTCTTCAATGGCTGCGGCAATCGGCTGCGTGCTTTTTAATTAATTTAATTGCAATTTAATTACCCTTGCTATTTAATTAAACACATTGGCAACTGAAGGAGGCGTTCGTGCAAATTGCATGCAAACTTTTTTGGCAGCACTCGAAACAAAATCAACACACACATAGAGAGAGCATATGGGTGTTTGTCTGTGTGAGAAATTCGAGTGCTTGTAGTTTGGCAATTGCGGCTTAATTAGACATGCAGTTAAATTGATTTGCCCGTTAGCTACGTGTCTGTATTGGGGCCCTGTGCAGCGCACATTCAATTTGTAGACGTACTCAGTTGCCCATTGATAATTGACGATTAATTTAATAGAATGTCCAAGTTTGGTGTTGCAACTAACTGCCAGTGGCTATGGCTATGGCTATGGCTATGCTTCTGCCCCTGTCTCTGGCTCTGCTACTGCATCTGACTGTGACTTTGACTCTGACTTTGGCTGT